CTTTCTACTCACTACATTTTTTAAAAAAGGTAAGAAGTAGAAAGTTTTTACTCCTTTTTAATTTCGAGTTGTTACTTAAAATAATACTATCCTGATAAATGTGTCTCCTGGATAGAGTGAATTTACTGCGGTTGGATGAGAAGTATAAATATATAAAATTCTGACACCCTATTAGCTTGTACACAACCCATCATCAAAAATATTTTTTTGGAGACGTCACCTCCCAATAAATGTCATTTTGGAAAATCTAACTGCTCACTTTTACTCAGTACTTTTACTTTTAATACTTAAGTAGATTTTGTGCCAGAAATTCACTTCTGATACTTAAGTACAAAACATATCAGATACTTTAAGTAATATTTTTAGGGAAGACTAACTTTTACCAAAGAGTTTTTATGATAAGATACTTGTACTTTTACTCAAGTATCACTTTGAGGTACYTTTATACAACAGGAGACACCTGTGCGCGCGCCTTTTCATCCCTCTCCTTCTGCCCTCCAAAGGTCGCGAGCACCTGAACGCCTTCGGCCAGCGGCAGACGTCGAAGAAGCGGCGGAAGTCGCGCACGGCCTTCACCAACCACCAGATCTACGAGCTGGAGAAGCGCTTCCTGTACCAGAAGTACCTGTCTCCGGCCGACCGCGACCAGATCGCGCAGCAGCTGGGACTGTCCAACGCGCAGGTCATCACCTGGTTCCAGAACCGCCGCGCCAAGCTCAAGCGGGACCTGGAGGAGATGAAGGCGGACGTGGAGTCGCTGAAGAAGATCACGCCGCAGACGCTGCAGAAGCTCGTCAGCATGGAGAGCGTCGAGGACGCGCAGGGCGGAGAGGGGCCCGGGGGGGCCAGGACGCCCAGCGTCTCCCCGACCTCCCGAGGAGGAGGRCACCGAGCCTTCCCGCAGTCCCCGTCCTCGTCCAGGGACCAGACCACGGACGAGTTCTCGGAGGACGACGAGGAGATCGAGGTGGACGATTAACCGAGATTTTATCAYCGAACACAAAACAAGAAAATTAAAGAGGGACGTTTTTTTTTTTCTCTTCCCCAAACTTTTGCACGGATATTGATTTAAAAAAAAGGAGTATACACATATATGAACACATCGGGGGGAAAATATTCCCCACTTTTTATGTCTTCATTTTAATTTATTTATTCGAAACTATTCGAGGTTGTTCGGGTTTCACCGCAGTCTGAGGAGGATCAGGCAGGAAGGCTTCTGACAAATGAAATGTGGATTTAGTCCCACTAAACCAGACTGTTTAAATGTAAAAATAAAACATAAATCAGTTTCAACTCTTCTAAAAACACAAGATACAAAAGAATCAGTTTGATGAAAACAAACAAAYAAAAACAGGTTCTGGTCTGACGCACGTTACAGAATTTATTCAGTAAAATTATTGAATTGCTACAGTGCAAAAACACCTGCTAACTGTTAAAAATAAATCAGGACAAAATCCTAATTTCATCTCTTAGAGTGTGGAATAAACATTTAATAATTAAACATCTTTTAGGTTATAGGAAGTTCAGTGCAATTTACTTTGATTTGCCTTTTTTTCAGGTTTTATTTGTTTCTGTTAAATATCTCTGACACCTTCCCCCAGAAACTTTTATTTTAAAATTTAATTTATATTGTTTAAATCGCCACACAGTCAGCACCTCACGCACACTTCGGCTTTGTTCCGCTTCGGTTCTGTAAATAGATCCAACATCTTATTTTATTGTAACGTTCTATTTAATCAGCATCTATGTAAATAAAGCTTATATGATATTTGAAAGAGGATGAATTAATTGTAAATATCAGTGAGTTTATAAAAGGGTTAATGAGTTAAGTGTTGGAGTTAAATTCCGCTTGGTTAAAAAAAAAACATGATTTTTGATGAGTTGACCTTTTTTTTGCTTTCAGCTCCACAGCTTCAATTAGCAGCTCGTCTCTTTTCTCTGAGTCCATCTTGTCACAAGAAGGTCCCGCTCGGTGTGCGGCGCGCACAGATCTGCGCCATATGTTGTCCTCCTCCCCGGCGCCGAGCGCCTTTTTAACGCAACATGATTGATTAGGTGAACCCCGCCCGCGCCGGACACAAAAACAACAGCTTTCACCCAGCCCGGGCTAATAATGGCCCGCATCTGCCACTCCTTTAACCCGGGTTGGTTTGGGAAGAAACAAGAAGAAAAGAAAAGAAAAG